GGCTGCCGGGTGGGCGGGAGCCGCGGCCGCGGGAGGAGGCGGCTTTGCAGCGCTGAGGGTCTCTCCGGTGGCGCGCTCCCGGCTCGCGCTGCTCCCCTCTGCGAGTTTGAACTGTTGACACCGAAACCTCTCGTTCCTAGGTCGGCTCTTTTTGCAGCGAGTTCCTGAAAATCTCGTAACGGGGAGGCTGAGGTGCCCTTTTCTGCCTCATCTTTCCAGACGTCCGACTTTGTCTGCCTCCAGCTTCTCATAGCTGAAGGAAGTACGTTGGCCTTCTCTCTACAGTTAAGAGATGTCGTTAGCACTAGTTAATCCATTTAATGGTTTTAAAGACAATAGTAATAAAACTGGGAGAATCCTGAACCTAAAATACTGAGGATTTAAAGATCTGATCTTTAACTGAATTGGCATGCCATACACTGCCCAAAAGGAAGTTATTTTGCCCTTGTATGGACCTTTGTGTCTATATGTATACACATATACATGTGCCTGTATGCGTACAGTTATATATTTATACATATTTATATATCCACATACATATGAACACGTGTGTAGATATATGTAAAACTAAATGTGTGCGTGTATATATACATGTAAAACCACACCTGTTTGTGGTTGCCTCGGCTCTGAAATTACTGTTCGGAATGAAGCACTTAAATAATAGTATGCTGTTTTAGATAAATTAGCACACTGTAAATAGCATTGCTGTTTTTGTTCAGGATAAACAACTTTCAAGAGTTGTAGGCACTTCCTTTGGGTCGGTGCTTGCTTATTCTTGGGAAGCTTGACTGTGGTCTGCAGCGTGGGGAGGAACTGGTTGGAGTGTGTCTTACAGGGGCTTTCCTGGACCTCAGTAGTGTAAATCGCTTGTCTGATGCTGAGATCTAAACTGGTCCCAGCAGTCTGAAGTACTGCAAGGATGTGCATAGTGTTCATCTTTTACTTTCTTGTTTTATGTAGAGTAGAATAGTTATAGAATGGTTTGGGTTGGAAGGGACCTCTAAAGGTTGTCTAGTTCAGCCCTGCTGCAATGAGCAGGGACATCTTCAACTGGATCAGGATGTAGCAGCAAATGCAATTTCTGGAGAGATTCAGATTCTGATCGCCCTCTTAATAGTCACATTTTGACTTTGACTTAAATGCGTTACTTGGTATGCGATGTTTGATTTACATGAAAGTCAGGTCAAAGGTCTGATTGGCAACACAAGCCTGTTGTTGGTATTACTCTGATGTTTTGCCATCGCTAATGTTGCTGCCTAACTGTGAGAGGTAACAGAAGTTTGAATTTGAATAAGGTATTTGGGAGTGGAAAGTAAAATTTATTTTGGACTCTGGTCATCAAATCTTAG